CAATATGATACTTCTTTGAGTTGAAATCCCTTTATGTTACTAGATCTTTTTGCAGTAAAGAGCCTGTGGGAAAATGGAAATTCCTATGGCCGGGATGCTCACCTGACCCTAAACTACTTGATGATGTAACTGGCCTACTGCTTGACTATCTGCTTCCACAACCATAGGCAATCATTGACTGAGTCACTATGTAAAGAGCTCTGTCCAGGGCTCTGGGTAGAGGCAGAGATGGAGGAGGATTATGGACCTGCGGATTGTTGGATGCAAACACGATTCTAGTGCTCAATGGAGTACCATTAGAATAAAGCTGGGTATTAACCCTTTTACCCCAAGAAATTCCATTGTCATTTCTCACTCTCACTGAATTCATAGTGAATTTTCCCAGGGCTGAATCCCATTGCAAGAAAACTGATGTAGTTGGCAGGATTATTGTAAGTGAAGACTGTTATGGCTGGGGTCTCTGTGGCTTGAATGAATTTGCAAACCTATTGGATTCTGGTCACATCTGTGGACTTGATAGAGAAACAATTGGGTGCCATGTACCACTCCTTGCTGGCTACAGAATCCATTACAGCAACAGCCCCAATAAAGGTAATAACCACTTATCCCATCATGGGATGGGTACGAAATTTGACCTAAAAGCCATGGAGTGGTATGGTACAGATGCATACACTGGCCAAGTGGGGCATGTAACTACAGCAGCATAATACCCTCTCTCCTAGCCCCTTGAGTGAAGAGCTCCCACATTTATTGGGGCCAGTGACATATACTAGTAAAAGGCAGGAAGAATTTACTTTAGAGCTGGAAGTAGCAGAGTCCTTTCCGGCAGGGAAGAGCCCTATACCCAAAGATGCATGGTACACCGATGGCTCCAGCCATGGGCAGCCTCTGAAATGGAAGGCTGTAGCTTTCTATCCTAAGACTGAAGCAATATAGGTGGAAATTGGGAAGAGCAGCCAATGGGTAGAGCTGTGGCCAGTGTGGCTTGTGATCAGCCAGGAGCCCTCCCAAGTAGTTGTCTGCACGGAGAGCTGGCCTGTCCATCAGGGCTTGATCCTGTGGCTACTGACATGGTATCATGCCAACTGGTTGGTTGGTCACCAACCTATTTGGGTGCAAGAGTTGTGGCAAGACTCATGGGCCTTTGGTCAGACTACAATTACAGTATATCATGTGAAAGGTTATTTGCCACTGGCCCCCGGAAACAATGAGACAGATGAATTGGCCCACGTACACTGGCTAGAAGGAAAGCCTCCCTCTGATTTGGCCCAATGGTTACATCATCATTGTTGCATGTGAGGCAAAAGACAATGCAGGCTTTAGCCCGTTGGTGGGGCTTGACTTTGACCTTTGAAGAAGTCAGTAGAGCCTGGCATGAGTGCATTGTATGCTTTAAAAGGGACTTATACCAAGTTCTACAGCAACATAGAACAATAGCTAAGGGACCAATACCCCTCATCAGGTGGCAGAGAGACTATATTGGGCCTCTGCCCATGTCAGAAGGGTCACAATATGCTATGATATGTGTGGACACAGCTACTGGACTTCTGGTTGCTTTTCCTACATGTTTTACAGACCAGTGGATGACCAAAAGAGGCCTGGAGCATCTCTTTGCAGCCTATGGCTGACTGGAGGTAATTGAGAGTGATCAAGGCACCCACTTCACAGGACATGCATTACAAGAATGGGTACACAATTAAGAATCAAATGGAAGTTTCATGTACCATACAATCCTACTTGCAGCAGGCACGATGAAGAGGTACAATGGTTTGTTAAAATCTGGACTGAAGTCAGACACCAATAGTTACAAGGATGGTCAGTCCGCTTATGGATAGTGCTACAGCATTTGAATGAGAAGCCCCAGAAGGGAGCACTAAGTCCTGTAGAAATGCTAACACATATTGCTGCCTCCCCTATACAACTTCAAGTACAAACCAAGGAGGAATCATTGAAGCCAAGGTTCGGCTACCAAAATAGTACCTTGCTTCCAGCACCAACTGCACTGAACCCTGGAGACTCTGTGTAGTGGACATGGCCTTGGACATTTCAACACATGGACCAATGATGGCTGGCTCTCCTGGCACTTTGGGAACAAGGCCTGGAAACTGGCCTCCTGTGTATTCCTGTAGTAACAGCAGAGTGGCTCCCAAAGATCACAGTTGTACATCCTGAACAGCCAAATGGTAGGAGCATCTTGCTAGGTAGGGAGTTTCGTTTGATCATTATGGCCAGTGCATGTACCTCCAGTGCCACTATATACACACTTTCCAGTAACTCCCACAGAAAGAAGGGTAAAGGTATGTTATGCTAGACCTAGATGGGACCCCCTTCCTACATGGTCCTATCACAGGACCACTCTTTTGCATGCATTCTACCTGATGGACAAAATTTGCCTATGTTGGTATCATTGAAACATGTGAATTATTGTCCTTAAGGCTAACATCCTCTGATTTCTTTGTGGACTGGGTATACACCCTAGCAAAACTCTACTACTCACTGGGGTGCATGGAGCTCCCTATCAGTACTACTACTGACCTCCCCCAGAAAGTAGGAGTCATGAACTCATCCGAGTAGAACTGGTTTTGAATACAGTTGGAATAACCTCTGCAGGCTTGAAGATTATTATAATTTTTGTTACCTGTGTCAAAATTTTGTTGTATCATAATTTTTGTTATCTGTATGCTGTTGTTATCCTCTGTTCCTACTGTGGAATCTAGTTACAATGCTCCAGCTTTCTCACACAGGGACCACTGTGGAATATTGAAAGCATATAGATTGTGAGGTGAGAATCCTGGAGGGGTGCAGTGTGGGGAAATGGAAGTTCCTGTGGCCAGGATCCTCACCTGACCCTAAACTACTTGATGATGTAATTGGCCTGCTGCTACACTACTGCTTCCACAACCAAAGTCAGAAAGCTATTATTAACTGAGCCACTATATAAAGAGCTCTGCCCAGTGCTCTGGGTGGAAGCAGAGATGGAGGAGGATTATGGACCCCCAGACTGTTGGATGCAGATGTGATCCTAGTGCTCGAAGTATGGCCATAAGAATAAAGCCAGGTATTAACCCTTTTTTATCATCCAGGGTTGCTGCTCCATGGCTTAGTGCTTGGCCTGTTTCTCCTTTATATCTGTGAACATTCTCTAGACAATCTTATCCAAACCCAACCCATAATCTCAAATTTCATCTCTATTTTGATGGCTCTCAAATTTATATTTTTAGCCCCAACTTTCCTCCTGAAATTGAGACCCATAAATTATTATATCATTGATGATTGACATAGCTCAAATTTTACATGACTGAAACTAGGTAAAGTTACTCTTCTTGCAGCCCTCATCTCAGTAGATGGCATTTCTTTCTTAAATTGCCCAAATGAAAGGTATACAAAAGTATCCTTAAAATCCCATGTCTCTTCACACATTCCACTCCTCTAACTGACCCTGTCAGCACAACCATTAAATGCCTCCGGAACTGGACCCCTTTTCACCACCTCCTTCACTGCAGCTCTACTATAAACTATCATGATTTCATGTTAGAACTGTTGCGGTTGCCTGACATTGGGTCTCCCTGAGTCCACACTTGCCTGTATACAACATATTCTCCAAATTAATCAGAGTGGTCTTTCTGAAATACAAACTGAGCACAGCAATAAACTGCTGGGACTCCCCTCCAGTGTGCTTCCAAGTCCCCACCCACAGGACCTGGTATACTGACTCCCAGAAACTTCTTTGACTTCATCATCTTCCACTCACCCCATGATTCCCTCTGCTCCAGCCAAGTTTACCTCCATGTTGGTCCGTAAATACCCACGAATACTGCTCTTCAGGTCTTCTTACCATGTGCTCCACCTGGAACATCCTTTCTCCAGACACCGCATGAGCTCTCCCTCACTTCTTCTCCTCCACCTGATCAGAGGTCCTGCCTGACCAACTTTTCTCCAATAGCACATCCCTCTTACCCTTTGTACTCTTTCTCTTACTGTCCTTACTTTTCCTTTAAAACACTTACTACCCCCTGACTTGTTACCTATTTGCTTATTCATTGCCCCAGATAGAGTGAAAGCTCTGGAAGATGAGGGAGTTTTTTTCATTCACTGTGTGTCTCCAGAACCTAGAAACTGCCTGGGACACAGCAGGCCACACTGGCAACATGTTTTATTAGGGAATGAATTACAAAAAGTTGTATTAAACAGTTATTCCTAGATGGGGTGTGGTACATCTGAACATGTGAAGTAAAAAATAATGGAATTTTCAAAGTATCTGGTAGCAGCTGTTTTCTTCATTGATCAAGGAACTGTCATCTCTCCAAAAAAGGACCAACAGGAGTGGAGCTGTGGCTGACTCATTCCCCAAGGCATGCTGGTAGATGAAGGAAGATCAAACAAGAGGCAAATCCATACTTTGCTATTACTACTTTTTCCATTTTATTAAAGGTGTTATCTAAAAAACAGACAACTTCCAACTTACTCTGTTATTTAGCTAAAATGCCAACTAAGCCCAAATTACTTTTTTTTAATTTTTAATTTTTTAATTAAGGTATCATTGATATATACTCTTATGAAGGTTTCACATGAGCAACATTGTGGTTTCAACATTCACCCATATTATCAAGACCCCCCCCAACCCCACTGCAATCACTGTCCATCAGTGTAGGAAGAGGCTATAGAGTCTTTATTCATCTTCTCCATGCTGTACTGCCTTCCCTGTGACCTACCTATATTATGTGTGCTAATTATAGTGTCACTTAATCCCCTTCCCCCTCCCTCCCTGCCCACTCTCCCCAACCCCTTCCCTTTGGTAACCACTAGTCCCTTCTTGGAGTCTGAGTCTGCTGTTGTTCTGTTCCTTCAGTTTTGCTTTGTTGTGATACTCCACAAATGAGGGAAATCATTTGGTACTTGTCTTTCACTGCCTGAGCCCAATTCACTTTTAAAACGTATTGGTGCAATCCAGGTCAGAGGAGAAGATTTAAAAAAAGCCAACAACACTAAGTGTGTGTTAATGTTGCTTTTTATTTCATGGAACCCAAATGATGGCAAACATTAATTTGGGGAACATTTTACATAGACATTAACACAGAAAGGCAAATAAGAAATGCAAAACACACATTCACACAAATGGCTATCACTGGAAATTAAAGTAATTTCAGAGAAAGATTAAAATATTCTTTGACCAGTGGTGATATTGAAAAACCACACACCCTAAAATGAAAATATGAATAAAAGCAAATTGTACACATCTGCTGTTTACTCTTCAAAACTGAAACACAAGTTAACAATGGAAAAGGTTATTGACATGCTAAGTCTAATACTTGAACACTCTTTAATCTTTTGTCTTTCAAACCAGAGCTTTTAGGTTCATAATCTTACCTTGTTAACTCTGCACCCACACCTCTGAATTCTGTTTATTTCTTAGACAAATAAAATTCTCCTAGAAATCGAGGACCAGGATCACAGAGAGCAGTACAGTCATCCACTCCCAGGATAAATAAAGGCCTCTAATTCCCAGATTCTCTGCCTAATAAGAAATCACGTAATAGTCTACATGGACATTTCAAAGCTTGAGAAAGGGAATGTTGTTTAACCCTGGACTTCGTTGTGGTTATTTCCTACAAGCAGAGAGCAAGATAAGCAGTGGGCCCCCACATCTAAAAGAGGTACATAGTTAGAGACATCTCAACCTGATGTCCACTCGCAGCGATGACACAAATGATTGGGGGAAGTGAAGAATAACTATTGCTTTGGCGGCGAAGGCCACACTACAAAGCGTTTGCCTTTTACCCTTATCTGTAATTCAGGAAATGAAGAACAGAATAATGGTTAGTTTTAACTTTTGAGAATAAATATTTATCCTGCATAAAAGACACACTTTTATAAAGTAAACATCTTCTATAGCTTCTTTTGAAAAATTGCTTTGATAATAGTTGTCCCTAAATTTGTGCTACAGATGCCACAGCTGTAGTTTCAAAGACTGGCTCATGAGCCGCTTCAACATTAGCTATCCCTGGGCTGGCAAACATCAGAGGCATTATTCAGTCATCACAAGGTTTCACTAAGCCACATCTTCTCAGATTTCACCTTGCTTCAGAATCACCTGTCAGGCTCCTTAAAATCGAACTACTCACCCCAGAGCTTCTGATCCAGTAGGTCTGGATGGGCTGGGAATCTGTATTTTTAACAAGTTCCCAGCTGATGTTAGTGTTGTTGATTTCAGGGACCCACTTTGAGAACTACTGCCTTAAATTATTAATTTATATGTTCTTTAAAGAGCAATGAAAGCTAAGAAGGCAGCCCCCCCACCCCATGGTACTTTCTAAGCTCTCTTCTAGCCTGTGTCACAGGGACAATCTGGGAGAAAATCCACTTTCGCTTCCTCCTTTATAGCAACAGCAGTGCGATGGCTGCTAAAGAGTCCTGAACGTGATTTGCTTAGCATTTTGGCTCTGCTGGCCAGCATGGGGCATGTGCCCTATTCCCGCCAGAAGGGCTGCAATCCCTCTGTGTCCCCAGAGGCCCTGGCTCTGCAGCCCTCCCCAGGACAGAACCCGGGCCTCTGGGGGCCCAAAGCCACAGCTACATGTCCCTCCCCAGCAGGTCGATCTCATCCAAGAGGAAGTCCATGTCCTCCCGGCCCACTTGAGGGTTGATCACCACCTGGCGGAAGAAGTTGACCTTCCCCCGGTGGGGCTGGTAGCCCAGCATCAGGCTTCCCTTCTTCATCATCCTCTCCTTGATGGCTGGGGCCACCTGCAGGGAGAGAGGAAGAAGGGGTAAAAGGCCAGAACACAGAGGCATTCCAGCTCATTCCACCAGTCACTTGAAGTTTGCTGGCATCTACCAGTGTAGGGCCCTCACTCAAGAACACGAGGCCATACTAATGAGAATATCCTGCTGAGAACTCACGGCATATGAGACTGATTCAAGTGTTTTAGATACATTAATTCATTCAGTGTCACAATAAATACATAAGGGAGATACTGCTAATACACCCATTTACAAAGAGGAAATTCAGATGTATGGAGATTAAATAAATCACCTGATTAAATAAATCTCCCATGTTCAGTGAGTGGGAGACCCCAAATTTAAAACCAGGCAGTCCCACCCAAGCCCGCACTCTGAAGCTGACATCATTACGCAAGAGTGCCTCGTTAGAAGCAAATCCAGTATTCTCATCAAAAGTGTCATATGGTATACTCCCAACTTTGTCTGAATTAAGAAATACTTCAGTTGAGGCATCTGGAATAAAGATAATTAGTTATAGATGGTAAAAAATTGCAAAAGAGCCTTGCAATGAGTCTACCAGAAAAAAAAAAAAGCCCACTAATGCAGGTATTACATGCTGTTCTGCTTTGAAGACTTAACAGTTTATTTATTAATAGGACAGATGTAAAATACAAACTCTCTTTTGTTAAGAGGTGTACAGTTAGTAATAAATTAGGCAGTCCATATTTTAAAGATTTCCTGCTAACATGAGAAGAATGGGCCTTGGTAAAACAAATACACAAGTTGTTCTAAAAAAATTTAATGCTTGAAGAAATTAGTCCAATTTAAGAACCAGATGAGAAAATCAGTCCATTTTAAATCAGTAGTGTGACCACCCAAGAACTAGGTCATAGCCTCTTTAAATAATGAAGTTAACTTTGGAAGCACCAAGTTAAACAAGTTAAGAGTGCACTTTGACTGAGTTGGAAACACAAGCTAAGTTTTTCCATTTTCATTTTATTTTAACTCTTTAAAAATTTCTGAGCATGTCCTATGTGAATATAGGGAGGGAATACAATGACTTTCTGCCCTTATCTTCTCAGAAGGATGAGATTTAGCTAATCCAGAAGGAAGAAATGCATACATAAATACCACAAGGGACAATGGGCTTCAAAAATCCTTAAGTGGGACATAAATCTCAGTTCCCATGAGCCTCTCTTAGACCATCCCATACCACTCTAGTTTTTAAATATATCTGTATTTTATCAAATGCCCAGCCACCCTGAAGACAAGCCAAAGTATTCCATCTGACAGTCTCCATAACTGTGATCTGTTCCAAAGTTATGGAAAAATTGGGTGGTTTATCTTCTGGAGACATGATGTGTTAGACTCAGTCACAGGGTCTTCTCAAGGGATGTGCAAGGATAATGTTAACTAAATACTTTTTTCCTAAGGTGCTAATTTTAAAACCTACATCTTGCAAAACATGGAGCACACTATGCCTACAACATTAAAAACAAACACTTATTAAGCACAATCATAGGGCCATTCTAGCAAAGGCTTGCAGTTCTCTTATTGTACACTGACACGTGAAATGAAAATATATAAGCACAAAAGTATAGAAAAAGAAGAGGAAGTCAGAGGTCAAGTTAGCGAAAATGGGAACCATCATGTTCTCTACATTTCTGGAAACATGTCACAAAGTTTATTCTGAGCTTTTTAGAGATTAGAAAAACAGGGTGAAATTAAATACCACCTTCAATCTCTGTAAAATTTAATGACAAATGTTCACTGGGTGTGGAAAGTTGGAGGCAAGTAATTCTCTACCAGGCCCTTCAATTTGAATGCTCCACGCTTCACTTGACTTTTCTTCCAAAGCTCTTTATATAAGTACCACTTATTATTAGAATATAAAATCTAGTGAAATAATACTTAAGCAAATGAAAGATGAGTGCAAAAAGTGCTTTCCATAAAAATAAAGTTGAATCCTTTGGAAAGACTAGATGAAGGGGGACTGCTGAATATTGCTGCAAGTTTAGTGTGCTAAGAGAACTGAAGATGCTTTCAAACAAAATCTTCAAAGTTCAGACTGATTCTGCACCCAGATGGTCACACAGGTGCCTGAGCACTCACTCCACACACAGAAACCTGAGCTGGCTGTGGCAGGGATTCCTGAAGAGCAACATTTATGGGAGAATGCCCACATCATCAGAACTCTACTCTAAAGAAACCTCACCTGTTTTGGAAAGCATTTGGAAATCCTCACTTGATGAGAAAACAAAAACAAAAACAAAGCCTTTCCATCAAAACTTGGTGCTATAAGTTCACATAGATGCATTTTAAGTTAAAGCATTTTAAGTTAAATATGCACTGCATTTTTTCCTAAGATCATTTTCCTTAATTGACCAACCCTCATCACCATAGGTGGGTGGGTTTCTGCTGTGTGTGTGGACATAAATGGTGTGTGTATGTGTATGTGTGTGTGCACACGATTACTTGTAATTTAAACTTCTAACCCACCATTATTCATTTACTGCTCTTAAAATCCTGTTTGGTCACAGGGCAACACAGAGCCATGGTCTGACTTAGGTTCATGGCAAAGGTACATTTATTTTTAATTCAAAGAACAAATGGCCTCTTGAATATAAACTGAAAGTATGAGAGAAAAACATAATAGTGCCAGTGCCGGTCAATACTGGGAAGTCTTGGTTCAAATGTGACAAATGTCTAGCCAGGAGAGTCACAGTCTATCAATTTTGGAGCTTACAGATTGTGTTCTGTAGATTTGTGGGTGGGATTCCCTTTATATTTATCTCCACCCTCAGCTAGGTACCCAGCATATACCAGCTCTGGCTTATAGCCAATTTTAAATTTAAAACAGGCATGTTCTTGGCTCAGATCTAATTTGCATTGTCTATTCCTATTTATTTTTCAATACCTCTATTTTCCCCCCAAATGATATTTTATGCCTCGCCTTTGGAGAGCACTGGAATTTTTATCTCGGTTCATAATGTGTCAGAGGCTCACATGAGGCAATTTTCAAAATGAACCCTGTCCATTTTGCATTTCTTGTAAGCAAACCAAAAATATTTTCTAATGTGGGCAAGAAATATCAAAAAGAGTTCCCTTGGATATTTTGATATAAAAGTATTTTTGATCTTTAAATTCTTGCTCTTATGGAAGGCATAAGAATGTGCTTCCATGGGCAAAAAAAACCAAACCTCTAAGCCAAATTTTGTCACTGACTTTCAAACATCTTATATGAATAACTAAGTATCTATGTGACTCAGAACCAACGAGGCTAGAGTCTGACAGTACAATGCATGTCTATTATGTATCCATGACTATAAGATTAATTTCTGGAGGTAATTACTCCAAGAGGGGAAACCCTCCTTTGTCTATTAATATTTCACAGGGAAAGAAGGCAGTAAGTAACAGCAAGACTGATAATCATTAAATCTCTGTCACAAATTATAATTGCAGTATTAGTAGTTACTGTTAACAAATATTTTACCAACTCCTTACAATTTGCAGCGTGCTTTCCCAAGGTGGATTTTCATGAACTCAGCTGAAAGCTTATTTGAAAGGAACCTATCTTTTTGCAATTCAGGGACCAAGAATGTTCTCCTTAACAGCCAGCTTTTCACCTTTGCACTTAAAAAATCAACCATTTTCTATTTATAAAGCTCCAGGCACAATCCAGTGCTGGGTGACTTGGATATTCTCTTTTGCTGATCACAGCAGAGAAACAGTCCTAATATGACAGGATGGGCTATTCACAGGGGAAAGAAAATATGCACACACTAAATGTAAGTATCTGAATATCACCCCTAAATGGAGCATGCGTGGAGAAAGGCAATTTAGCAGGAGTGAGATTGCTTTCCAGCTCTCAATTATTTTACTGCTGGTTTTCCTTCAAATTGTAAATCAACTTCTTTTCTCATGCCTCAGTGCACTGGCCCCTGCATCTTAAATGGGGAAAGATCTTGACATTTCTATTTCGTTGCACAGGCACTTAATTGACATGTTCCTGTAGGATTGCTGTTTTTTCTCCCTTAAATTATGTTCCAGCAATGATTTAGTCATTTAAATGGAATTTTGCTGCCACACCCCTGTGACATAAAATAGTATTTGATACTTAAAAGTTGTTTAAACTCAAGGGGGAAAAACACAACAAACAAAAACACTCTCTCATTCTGGTCAACTTGATAACAAGTAACTAACCAGACACCATCAGAGCCTTTTATTAAAATAAAATTGCAGTATTCATAAAGTGACATTTCCTCTTAAAAATATGTAACATAGTTAATGAGTTTTTCAGTAATGAAGTGTTTCTCAAATTCCCTGTGCAGTTTATTTTTCTAATGCATTATAGATGTACTTTTGTGAAATACAGTAAAAGCAAACAACTAATTGAAAATGAATTATAAAATAAAAATGAAATAAAAATGACAAAAAAATACAAGCCCAATTTGATTTTTTTAAAAAAATTTAATACAACCATTAAAGTTACTCTGTTAAGTCCTTATAAAAGTTTCTAAACAATGACTGGATTGCCATACTTTTTTGTTTTGCATACTGGTACCATCCAGTTCAAGGATGGGCATGGGGCTGGAGACCACATTTTAAGGAATGCTGTTCTATTTTAGTTCCCTTGGCAATCTGTGGGTGTGTATCATTTTAGTCATCAATCCTGATTTTATTTTGCATACTTTCTACTTACAGGCATGGTTCCCATACCACTGTCAGTGGGGCTTTTGTTTTCCACCACACCCTTATGCAGTAGTCTTCCTAGACATCTCCCAATTGTTACATCTTGGTTCTGCTTTAATTATAATGGCATTTCAGGGAAACCATGGACCCAGTGATGAAACCTCTAACTCAGTTCTTCAAAGATTGGTCCAAAGATTATAATAGTAGATGGTTCAAAATGTCTTAGTCTTCAGGATCTTTATACAACTTTGCCCATTTGCTAAGCAGGTGAAAGAGTCACACTTTTCACCTGTAAAATGTGAGGCAGCGAAACTCGCAGAATGGCTGAGAAG